GGCATTGCTCGAGGAATTCTTTATCTTCACGAGGACTCTCGACTAAGAATTATACATCGTGACCTCAAAGCAAGCAATATTCTGCTAGATGGAGATATGAACCCCAAAATCTCAGATTTTGGCTTGGCTAGGATTTTCGTAGTCGATCAAACTCAAGCAAGTACCAATAGAATTGTTGGAACATAGTAAGTTTGGATCTAATTCCCATTGATTAGTAAATTCATTTGCTGACAGAGTGCTTTCATTTCGTTTTTTTCTAATCATTTCTCTATTGTTCTGGTTTGTAGTGGTTATATGTCCCCCGAATATGCAATGCATGGGCGTTTCTCTGTCAAGTCTGATGTCTATAGCTTTGGTGTCTTAATCCTTGAGATTATAACCGGAAAGAAGAACAGTTCCTTCTATCAAACAGGGGGTGCTGTAGACCTTGTGAGCTATGTGAGTGCAAGTTTCTCTCTCTTGAAAACAAAAGGCATAAGATGTAGCAACTTTTGACCATTCAATTTTCTTTTTTCAGGTTTGGAAACATTGGAGAGATGGGACACCATTGGAAGTGCTGGATCCAACTCTGACATATACATATTCAAGAAATGAAGTAATTAGATGCATCCACATTGGATTGCTATGTGTTCAAGAAGATCCAGCTATCAGGCCCGCAATGGTAACAATTGTTCTCACACTCAATACTTACTCGGTTACCTTACCATTACCTCAAGAGCCTGCTTTTTTTTTCCATAGCACTATAACAGATGAAGTGAACAGTTCAAGCAAGGAATTTCTTTTAGAACATTCTAAAAGCAAGTCTGTTGCTTATTCTGTTGATGAAGATTCAATTACTGAAGTATATCCTCGATAGGGAGTATATGAATTTTCTCTAAAATAATCCTCGAGAAAAACATGAGGTCAATTTTTCAGTACCGAACACTTTACAATTGTAATTTTTATTGTTTAAGAATAAAACACACAAGTACTTGGATGAATGTCCCAAATTTTATTGATTAGCTTCTACACACACTCCGCTCCGCTGAATATATTAATCCTCAAATTATAATAATTTAATAAAGATTCTAACTTACTAATTAACCAAAGCTTCTAAGTAATTAATCTAACACAAATCCCTTTTTTTTATCAAAGATTCCTACCCAAACAATGATTATAACTGATATCTAACAATAATTAATATTTTTAAACACTCAGTTTAATAATGAAGGATTTTTTTTTTAATCTTGTCTTGAATATTCATCTTACACCAATGATCTTTCATCCTTTTAGAAGATCTATTAATTCCTGAGTATTGTTTTTTTAATACTATCAATTTTACAGTGCATGGACTTTTATCACTTTATTTATTTTACAACATTTTTAAAAGTTATAGGATCACACAATAAAAATAAAGCAATATGAGTAAATAAATCATTAGATTGATTGATTTTTATTATTTCATAACCATTATTTATGCAGGTTTTTTTCTAGTATGTTATAATTATTGATCATTATTTGTTGAAGTTATCAGTGGAATTTGATCATCTACTAATTGTAATGATTTTTACGAACCTCTCTGTTTCTGATCATTAACTTTCTTTGTAGTTAAGGCAATTTGTTCCACCTCTTACCTCGCATTTTTTTTCTTCTAGCTGAAAGGTTTTCTTTTTATATAAAATAGCTTTTTATTTCTTCATGTTTTTTATCAGTATTACTCTAGAGTTCTCTTTTTTTTTCATCTCAATGACCAATAAAAAAGTCTGCATGTTACTTCTAAATCCTATTGAACGATTTAGAGCATTCTTACTCTATTTTATTATTGATCGATTTAGAGCATTCTTACTCTATTTTATTTATAAGATCTTCGTATTCATGATTTAGTGACTCAATATTTTGGTGATGTTGATCTCATACTGCTTTTTTCTCTAGTTGAAGACTATCACACTCATCTTTAAAAAAACTTTAGAAACAATTTATCTCTCATTGCTACACTTTCGACTTCCTTCCTCAGTTATTTGCTTCTTTCATTAATCAACTTTCACTCCGTTTAATATCATATTCATCCTACGATATGTACTGATCTTGTGCATTAGTACCATGGATCGATTGTCGCGTTCATTTCCCATCAATCTCACATTTATCCCATCCAGTTAGCTTGCCTCATTCAGATGGATCAAAATTTAATTTAATTACCTATATGAATGCATGGGTATATGCGGAACTCCTATGGTATTATAGTGTGTGAAATCCTCCAACATTTTTACAAAGTCCGGGTGTGTTAATTTTCATATATCAATGTAAATTATCTAATATAATTGACGATAGATTTTTAGGTATTGATACTAAATGTTTCCTATGGACATTTTATATATATATAATAAAATTATTTTTGAATTAGCATGTGTCAACTAAAACTAAGTTTCTTTTCGGACAATTTTATGAATATTTTCACATTGGTTTATTTAAAGTTACTTATTTGCTTTACAGCCATGGTATTTTGGGCCACCTTTGGACTTTGGTACATGTAATTTAAGTTTTTTGTTTTGCTGAACAGATCAAAATATTCAAGAAAAATCCTTGTCTTTGAATTAAAATCCATGGTAATAATTGTACACACAAGTTTTAATAATAAAAAAAAATAATTATGTGTGATGGGTACAATTTTGTAATAATAAATTTTAAACAAAAGAATTGTTGTTCCTCTTATACTTTTCTCCGTGAATATTTGACTAGAATCTTGATGAGTTAGCTTGATTTATACTGTTGGATCAAACACTTATATGTCTTTGATCTCTCCTTATAGTGTTAAGTGTAGTTCTATAGAAGCACTGGGCTTGATGGGCTTTGGGCCAAATCTGAAGGATCTCAAGTTCAAAATAAATTTAGTTGGGTCAACAAGCCCAAATTGTACCACATTCAAGTAAGGTTTAATTCCCTCGTTACTTCCCTGCCAGTCCTTCACATTTTCCTTAAAGCAATTTTACTTGCAAAAGTCACTCTAACCGAACGAGAAGTAAGTTGATTTTCATTGAAGATGTTGAACCAAGAAAAGGTCAACGAGCACTGAAGAAGTCCATCAACAGGAATATACGGGCTTTTGAGAATACTGTGAGAGAGATATAGACTGACTGCTGCACAATGTATATAATAAATAAACTTTATAATAAAAAGAATATAAATTAAATTGTAAAGAAAAATAAATTGAAAAGTTATTTTGAAAAATTAGAGTGATAGACATTAAAATCAAAAGAAAAACAAAATAAAAAAAAAGATGTTGATATTGAACAGGGGGTTTATTATCCACATGCATTATCTAGAGATAAAAAAAAAGAAGCAGAACCTATTTTGAAAATTCAAAGTAAGGAAAAAAAATAATACATTAGAATTTATTATCCATACATATTATTTAAGGATAGAGAGAACACTGAGATGATTCAAATGTCATCTTGAAAATTACTATTTTTCTTTTAAAAAATGCTGTATAAATTAGTTAGTTTTATTTTACTGATATTTTATATATATTAAAACATCAAATTACCTTTTTTACTAGAAAATGGGACTAATAAATTAATTTTTTAACTACACTAATTATTTAATTTTTTTTTCAAAAGAAGAGGTAATATTTTATGATTTACTCAAGAAATCTGGATTAAAAAAATATATTCCGTACATTTCATAATGATGGTATGAATGTGTCTTCTTCTTATTCATGTGTGAAAAATTAAAAAATTAAAACAACTAAAACTGCGTCAGATATGAATAGGGCTTATATATATATATATAATGTATTAATGTAAGCATGTGTTACGCATATATGGTCATTAAGGTAAAATCCTCATTGTGATTTTTAGCTTAGCCTAAATATATAAAAAAAATTATGAACTTATTTTAATGTAACTCGATTAATTTGATAAATATATAAATATAAAAAAAATAATAAAGAAAAAGGTATAGAAATGTAAGTCCAAAATTAATTTAGATTATCTAAAATATTCTGATTTGAATTTAAAAAAATATTTCAAGATAATATTTTATTAAAGAATATTTAGATGGGAATATATTAAATTAAATAGATTAACATATATTAACCTATTTTATAATTTGAATTATAAATTGTTATAGCTGGTATACAGGCTTGTGCAGGCCTAAGTGCCTTGATGGCCCAACATACTTGCGCTATTAAAAAGTTAGGGCTTATGCTTGAGTCGGCTGGAGTGCATGGGTAGGCTTGCGTGCTTAAGCTATTAACAAACCATGCATTGTTTATAGTGGCAGATAATGCATCGACTACTAGGCGCCAGCTTAAAATTCATTCATTATTGTGGTGATAAAAAAAGAAAAAAAAAACAAGGGAGGGGTTTTCGGGGTTGAAAATTCATTTTTCAAATAATTTTTATTAAAAAAACACTTACTAAATATCATAAAAATATTTTTAAACCAGTTATTAACCCTAAAACACCTCAAGTCAAAAAACAATATATGAAAATCAATCAAATAAAAATTCTATAAACCAAGCCCGATTTATTTTTACAGGCAAGATAAAGATTCAAAATTAAGACAATCAAATCTCCATTGTCAAAAGGAATTTATTGTCACTATGAACAATGAGCTCCTTTGTGGCTCCCCTGATAACTTTTTTTCTCCTAGCTATTTTTTAGTGAATTTTTCTTTTCTCTCTGATATAGAGACCAAAGAATAATCAAATTAAATTTTAAAATCAAAATCAAAATTGTAGTAAATACGAGATTGACTGTGAATTATGAATTTTTACTGTGTTTTTTTATTTATTTTAATTTTTTATCTTTTAATTTAAAATTTTTATGATAATTTGAAATATAATTTCATCCAATTAGTCTATAAAAGTATTCCATTGAAAGAAAAAAAAAACATTAAAATGGAAAAAAAAGAGAGGCAGGCAAAAGCAGTGTTTAATTGATTTTCTAATTTTATACTAAGAGTCTTTGAAAATTTATTAAATAAGACACTTTTAGTTTTTTTCTTTATTTTTAAATAGAAGTTGGGGTTTGGTAGCCCTCCGAAGGTATCCCCTCACGTGTTTATATATATTTTTTTATTTATTTTTGTATTTTAAAAATATATTTTAAAAAATTATTTTTTATTTTAAATTAATATTTTTTTAGTGTTTTTGGATTGATATACTAATATAAAAAAAAATAAAAAAATTATTATTTTAATAATATTTTGAAAGTAAGCACACTCTCAAAAATTACGAAAAGTTGTTTCCAATGCGACATGATGAAAGCAATTCAATGCAAACGCAAAAGAACCACGACAATCCAAAAAACATCATTCATAACATAAGACACCTCTCAAAGATATCAAATCCATCGCAAAAAGCATCCCAAATGGCTGCCATTGCTAGCCGAACCTGTAGCTCAGAAAACCAAGAGAGAGAAATAATTGCAATGAGGAGCAATTGCATTGGAATAATATTGCGCGGGCAGCAGCACATGTCAAAACAGCAAACATGGCCATATGCGCAGCACTGAAGGAAAGAAATGTTGTAACAACAACAGAAGATGACCCAAGATAAAAACAGCAATATTGAGCAGCAATCTAACATGCAGGAAAGGAAAATAAGAAAAAGAGAGAGGGGCCTTTGCTAGGAAGGATGCCTTTGTGCGAGTCCTCTTTTGAAACCGTGAACGTCTACCACAGCTGTCCGCTGTTGACTTGGCACCAGTGCTGCACAACAGTGGAGTAAACAACAGAACATAAGACAATCTGCTTCTGAAGAAACAGCAAGAATATGGCAGGGATTTGGTGCCAACGGCCAAGGAAAAGAGTGGAAATTGAGATAAAAGAGTCTAAATGAATTGGAGCAGCTGGAAAATAAGATTGTGAATGCTGCAAGCAACTTTGTTCAACCTGCTTCGTGTAGCGTCATGCTTGGGAACCAGCTTCGTTTTTCTTATATCAATGTGTTTGGCTTTAATGTTGCGCGTAGCATCATGCTTGGTTCGTTTTTCATATATCAATGTGTTTGGCTTTAATGTTGCGCTTGCGCCTACATAGGGAAAGAGTAGCTTCAAAAAATGCATTATCCAGGTTGAATCAGCTCTTTTACACATTGAAATCTATCACGCATAATCAATCAAAACTGAATGGTGCTAATTTGCTTTGCCATTGCAACACGCAACAGCCGATGAAAGTTAACCATTGTTACTCAAGCAAGTCGACAACAATTCCCACTCGATTTAGCATGCTAAAACAAGAAATAGCTTTAAAAAGTAAACGACAATAGCATCCACATGGGTTGATTGACCAAAGCTAAAAACGCATGGATTCAAGCATGTATTCTTATGTATTCCCAAAAAAAAAAATCTTTAGAGTTACTTTCCTTCACCAAGAATCTGTATGGAAGAAAAGGAGCATCAACATAAGAAAATAGAGCTCACAAGCTTACCAATGGATTGAAGGCAAGGAGAAAACAGCTAGGAATGTCAGCCAAATGAACAGCAAAGAGCCGAAGGATGCAATGGATACACAGGACACAACGATGATCTTTTAACTGGAAACCTAGAAAATTAAAAAGGACAGAAACAGCAACCCCAAAACACCAAAAACACAAGGCTCAAAGTGTGAAGGCGGCCAAAGAAGCAAAGAAAAAAACAAATAGGAAACAGACTCGAAATTGAACAAATTAAAAACTAACAAATGACTGAAGACTGAGGAGACAGCAATGCCAAACTATGGACGCAGCCTCAGCGACAATGTTACGAAGCGAGCAGAACAGCAGGGAAAAATGCAAGCGAAGATGCCCAGGTAAAAAAGGCAACAAACAAACAGCTGCTAAGCACAAAAAAGTGGTGTGAACTGTAACTGTAGCGAACCAGCCTGCCTAAAAGCAAACATGATACCAGCAAAGAAGTCGATAGTTTAAGATAAAAAAACAAACAAACATGAGTTGCAAATCATATCAAGCCATAATAGTTTATAAAGCAAGTGTTGGCAGTTGTTTGACACTGTGAAGTGAAATCGAATTTCTAAGCATTTGGCTGAGATCCCAGTAAGGTTTTTAAACTGGATAGAAATCTATGAAGGAAGTTTGAAAGAAATCATTTTCCAACTAAGAAAACTTACTGCCCATCACCACCCAAGCTAACCTTCCCAGGTTGTATAGATCAAGCTGAGTTGTTTTTAACATTTCATGAATTTAGATTAGCAAGTGAGCCATCCCTTCTGAATTTTGTTTGGCACTTGTCACACAAAATTTCCAATAAGTTTCCAATCAATTGCATGTCCAGAACATAGGGAAAAAAAATTCAACAACAGTGGCACCATTTGTTAGCTTATATGGTGTAACTCATCATTCTGTGAATACACTGAAGAGGAAAAGGTAGTTGCAAATGTCTGCAGGAATCCTAGCATGTCTAAAATGGAGCTATTTTGCTGCCATATAAAGATGGCTTCTCTAGCAGTCAGGATGTCAAGACCACCCTCATAATTTCCCCTGGCATCTCCTTCACTAAACAGCTAGGCCAAACAAATAACCTGCCAATTTGTTAATACAACCACAAATCCTCTAGCCAGCCATGTTCATACTTCATAGCATAGATCGAAATTGATAGCAGCAGCAGTGGAGTGAATTGAAGTATTCCAACACGACATGGACAATTGGAGGGTGATATGGAAAAAATTGCCATAGTAAATTGTTAGGAGATCCAAACATTCAAACACACATAAATTTACGTGGTTCGGCAACTTGCCTACTCCACGGAGCTACTGGTTTGTATTAATCAAGCTCAAAAGCAATACAAACAACAAAACAAGGAGGAGGAGAAAACTTCTCAACTCAACTCAACTCTCACCCTTAGCACGCTCTCTGTGTTTCTCTCTATCTCGTGCTCTATCTCAGCTATCAGTGCACCTTCTATTTATAGCTGAGGAGGGAGATGATTGTTCAACAATGGTGGGCAAGTTAGGCACCTACCATTTGACTAT